CCTTGATGATATTTTATTCTTATTGGTAGTTCACATTGCTATAAGCTGCTCTGGGAGCCAATTTTTGGCGGAAGGACCACTACTTCCTGCCGTATGAACACTCCCCACCAGTTCAGAACAGCACTAGAGGCTGTGTTCAGTAAGCATGTCGGCCTTTTCAGTGGTGGCACCGCAGTACCGGAATGCCCTCCTCACAGTCTGCCCAGTCTGTAATTTTTTTTACAATCACCACCAGCGTTTTATGATGTACAGTATTTTTGTATTTCTTAATGGAGAGAGCAGCCAGTACATATTCAAAATAAATTATCATATCTGAATTATAATATAATTACAATAACTGAATCAAAGACTTGGATGTTGCAGATACATTAGATACCTGATAATTTTGATCAGCTCACTCATGTTGACATGATCCGGGACCAGGAACTTGGTCTTATCCAGAACAGGAAGTTGCTTCTCTCCTTTATACCTTTCAATAATTACCTAGGAAACATAAGAAATTATGGATTGAACATAGCACTTTTCACAGAAGCCAGGAGCTATATCCATGTTTTCTAATCATAGTCTAGCTGCTGAAGTAATATGCTGGCACCAAAAAGAAGAGAAGTTCCTCTAATAGTTAATGTGCCATTTCCTTCTGCTGTAGAAGTCATGATGTCATCTTTCACGACAGGAACCACTTGTCAGGTCTTCAGCTTCTGCTTTTGCGAATATCTAAAATGAAGGCCTTCAACAACCGCTTCACTTTTCACCCTCCTGGAGATGTCTAGCAAGGGGCAGAGCATCACAAACTCCGTGTACAAACCCCACTGAAAAGAAGGGGTCTTACACAAGCGCTTGAATTTTAATAATAATATATTTCGATTTATTAATCGCTCAATCCTGCAGAGCTTCTGGCTCTGTGCGATTTACAGTTACGCATATTCACACAGGACTAACAATGATTCATAGGGGTAAAGGAGGACAACATATAAATCTTTTAAGTCGCACACGTTTGCAGCCGATAGGGATTTTGTTCAGCTGTAGGCTTAGACGTGTTCCAGACGGCATTCACTCGGCTTGATGACGTCAGCTTTTTCCAGGACTGCTTCAAGTCGCAGCGCCGCACTGCCACCGCTTGGCCGGATCGGCCCATCGCAGGCTTCTTGATGCCGAGGAGATATTTCCAGGCTTCCGAGCTGGAAATTCCGTTTCGCTTGCCGAAGTTTTCAAACCACTGGGTGGACGGTGAGCTGGGGACAAGGCTGGTAGCTCACACCAGCACGGGCTAGAAATGACAGCAGTTCTGTTCCATTCAGATGTTACTGTAACCAGAGGATAAATCCTCTGTGCCACCGCTCCCTTCAGTCATTTTGGTATCTTCCACGCAGAGCCAACATTTGGTTCTCTGTGAGCATCACTCTCCTTCATCTCACCACTCCAACATACTTTGAGTTGGAATTCACTGCCACAGGAGGTGGTGGCGGCTACAAGCATGGGCGGCTTCAAGAGGGAATTAGATGGAGGAGGAGGAGTTTGGATTTATACCCCACCCTTCACTACCCAAAGGTGTCAGAGCGGCTTACAAACTCCTTTCCCTTCCCCTCCCCACAACAGACACCCTGTGAGGTAGGTGAGGCGGAGAGAGCTCTTGACAGAAACGGCTCTTTTTCAAGAACAGCTATTATCAGAACTACGGCTTGCCCAAGGTCATCCAGCCAGGTGCAACTGGAGGAGTGGGGAATCAAACTCGGTTCTCCCAGAATAGAGTCTGCGCACTTAACCACCAAACCAGCCACCTCCTAAAGCTCAAAAGCAAGGAGGCCAGCCACTCCTCTCTAGGGAGGCTGGTCCATGATCGTGGGGCCGCCCCTGAAAAGGCCCTCTCTCGTGTTCCCACCAAACAAGCTTCTTTGATTGGTGGGACAGTCAGGCGGGCCTCTCCGTGCGGTCTTAGATCCTGAGCAGGGACATGTGGGAGATACACCAGTCCCAAGCGACGCCTCTGATTTGTGGGACCACAGGATCTGAAATAGGGGGGCAATTCTGTCCCCCTCTTCAGTCCTGCCTCACTCCATTCAACAGGTTGCCGCAAAATTGTCTGTTCATCTGCATGGGGGACAGCACGGGAGCTGCTCTCCATTCAACAGGTTGCCGCAAAATTGTCCATCTGCACAGGAGCTGCCGGCGGAAAGGCTTTTGTGGCGGGGGTAACGCGCCAACTGAAGGAGGCACACCTCTACAGATGAGGCCACTGCTACCAAGCTCTACTAATCCAGACCAGTACAGTAGGAAAGGTATCTGCAGAAGTGATCAGTGACTCAGGAAAGCGCCTCCCCTGCCACAAATTTTGTTAGTCTTTAAGGTGCTACGGGACTCTTGCTCTTTTCTACTGCTGCAGACTGACTAACACGGCTACCCGTCTTGACCAAACTAGTACAATGAGCCACAAGCATAAAACAGGAAGGACTGGATCAGTGTTCCCTCTAAGCTGAGTTAGTGTGAGCTAGCTCACAGGTTTTTAGCCTCCGACTCACACATTTTTGTCTTAGCTCAGGAAGGGATGGCTCCAGAGCCAACTAATTTATGCAGTAGTCAAATCGCTCGCTCACAACTTTAATGCCAGTAGCTCACAAAGTAGAGTTTTTGCTCACAAGACTCCACAGCTTAGAGGAAGCATCGGTCTGGATTAAAAGAAGAGTTTAGAAATTAACCGGAATTTAATTCCCTGAGCATTTCTACTGTTTTCTGTTAAACTCACAGAAGTAAGTGATTAAACATGACACACACACACACCAAGAACAACAATTATGCAGCCCAGGCTCACCTTTGAAAATAAAAATACAGGCAGCACTCACTTAGAGAGCTAGTTTGGTGTAGTGGTTAAGTGCGCAGACTCTAATATGGGAGAACCGGGTTTGATTCCCCACTCCTCCACTTGCACCTGGCTGGATGACCTTGGGCAAGCCATAGTTCTGATAAGAGCCGTTCTTGAAAAAGAGCAGTTTCTGTCAAGAGCTCTCTCCGCCCCACCTACCTCACAGGGTGTCTGTTGTGGGGAGGGGAAGGGGAAGGAGTTTGTAAGCCGCTCTGAGACACCTTTGGGTAGTGAAGGGCGGGGTATAAATCCAATCTCTTCTCTTCTTCTTAGGCCCACCCTAAATTCCACCCCTCTTTGAGGAGGATAATTACAGTTCCTCCCCTGCCCCCAGTCCGGTAGTCACAAAGATAGAGAATAGGTGAGTGTCTTCTCCCCACCTCCCATCCCTCAATTTCTGGGGGTGGGGGAAGAGGAACAAAGGGGATGGCAAAAGGAATATTGTGCCAGTATTGACCATATAAACAAGTCCAATTGACTGTGACTCTTGAAAGAGCCTTTGTCTGGCTTTATCTGCCAGCAGGTTCCCTTGATTCAATCGCAGCATGATAAGACCAACCTTTCGAAATCTACTCACCGGTATCTTTGTTGGATGCTGCTCTCGAATAAGTCTGACATCCTCTACTCTCTGTTCTGCAGAGGAGAAAAAAAGAAAACTAAGTGCTTGGAGAAGGGCTACGCAGCCGTCAACGTACATACGTGGAACATTAATTTTCCTCGGCCTTCGCCAGCCTGGAAGAAACACACACGGCAGTCTAGAATGGGAGATGCTCAAATCACCCTACCAAGGCGGGGTTAAGTAGCCTTTGCCGCCGTATAGAAACTGGCTGCGTTTCTAGCAGAACAAGACCTGCGGGGAAGTTTGTTATCAGGCGAGGCAGGGAGTGGAACAGAAACACGAGAAACGAGCCCACTGGAGAGATAAATGCTGATATCTGGGGCTGGCGTGCATGTAGGCAAAGAGAGCATCACTCGGCCAGCCCTTCCTGCTGCCTTCTTCGTTAATGGAAGCGATTTGCCTCTGCATCAGAAGGGGGATTTGATGCTTCTCGTTAAATAGCTGCCAAGCCTTACACTGCTTTCACAAGAGAGACTTAAGTCAATTTTTGCATTCTCCATTGACAGCGGTCCAAGTATAAAACCCAAGCGATGCAGCTCCCGTTTGAAAAGGTCTCTCTTCCGCTTGCTATCCTTTTTTATGCTGAAAGCAAGGCAAAGAGTTTCCTGGCTCCTGTACCTATTATTACAGGTATATCCCACCTTTCTTCCACTGTGGAATTCAAGGTGGGTAGAGGAGGGTTCCCAGAAGACCTCCTGCCTGAGCACAGATCAGACCCAATCCTGTTTGGCATTATGCACCTTTTAACCATAACCTAGGCACCTAGGAGCTGCGGTGGCTCAAGTGGTTAAGACGCTGAACTGCAGGCTGTGGAAGGTCAGTAGTTCAGCAGTTCAAGACCCGGGTGCCGCAAGACGGAATGAGCTCCCGTCTCTAGTTTCAGCTCCTGCCAACCTAGCAGTTCGCTAGGCACCTAGGAAGTGAGACACTAAACGAGTGTCATAGGAACTTACGTGCTTGGATTCAGAGGTGCAACTGAGAAAGACTTCCCAGGCTTGCAAAGTCTGAAGGCAAAAAGCGACCTTGCAGAACTTAACTACGTTCAGAGTCCAGTCAAAAGCTTTATCCTGGAGTTGGAGGGCAGGGGTCAGCAATAGTTCATGCAAAAATCCAACTAACTTCATAGAATTTGCGTAAGTCTCTGAGGAGAGTTATTTGCCTTAAGCAAGCGCTTGGTTCGAGAATTTCCTTCCGTATAGCAGAGCTGAGTCGAGTTCTAGCGCCCGATGTGGCTTTGTGGAGGAAAACAAACACCCAGCCTGACCTTTACTTTCGTTTTCTGCAGCACAACAAAGCCACGATTCTTGTTCCTCTCCAGCACCCAAGCTGGAGAACCAGTTCAGGCCGCACAGGAAACAGCAACAAAACATTCAGCCAGATTATTTCCGAGCTGTTTTTAAAGGGACGGCAGAACTTCACATTTGGTGGAAGGGGAGGGAACCACGTCAAAAGCGGTTTCAATCAAGGAGAAAAGCAGGATATCAATTTTTAAAAAATAACATTTAAACTTCATCATCAGGGCCCGTGACATCAGACTTCCTGGATCGCATTACGCAGCTGTGTCTGCTCTGGCAAACCTAAATATTTCTGCCACCTTGTCACTCGGTGCAGTCGGGGCCTTCGGTGTTTTCTCCAACTCCTCCTGCTCAGGTCACCCTCCGGAGGAGATCTGCTCATTAAGGACATTTGGGAAATCGTGGCCCAGTGATTCACACCTGCCTCTTCGGCGGCAGGCAGCGACTGACACAGCAGATCCCAGGCAAGCCAGCGGAGGAGCCCAGAAAAACATTCGGCTTGGCCGGGCATCACCCGAGGAGGGAACCTGAGCTGAGCAGGTGGGGATGAAGTTGCAGGTCACTTCCCTGTCCCTCCCCAGAAAGAGACAACGATGCTCCACCGAGCTGAAAGCACCAACGGGCCGGGGAAAGGACGGGCATGGGGCTGGACCCCCTGGGGCTCCAAGGGAAGGGCACCCTGTGGCCCATTCCCAGCCAGGGAGGGAAGAACAGGCCCCACGGGGTGCGTCTGCTCCTCTTCCGGCTCTCGGACCCCGCCAAAGAGAAGGGAGGCATAAAGGGAACCCACAAGTTAATGCCCTGCGCGTTGCCCCATAGATGCCAGCCGCAACACACACTGGGGGAACCAAAGCAAAGAAATGAAGCCCTGGCAGGGAGGGGAGGAAGGAAGGAAGGGGACTCCTCCAATGTTCCCTCTAAGCTGAGTGCGTGTGAGCTAGCTCACAGTTTTTTAGCTTCTGGCTCACACATTATTTTGTCTCAGCTCAGGAAGGAGGGCTCCAGAGCAAACTGATTCATGCAGTAGCCAAATTGCTCACGCACAGCTTTCAGGCCAGCAGCTCACAAAGTAGAATTTTTGCTCACAAGACTCCACTGCTTAGAGGGAACATTGGACGCCTCTCCCCCCAGCCCTTCCTCCCCAGCCAGGACACTTCTTCTCGGTCCCCACCAGAAGCCATCACCCCCACCCCCTCCCCAAAAAGGAAACGCCTCCCCTGCGCGCCCACCTCCCTCCCAGGGCCCGAAGCCCCCCAGCCCCGTTTCCCCACCGCCGCAACCACCTTGCCCTTGCCCCA